CTACGAGGAATACAGACTAATACGGAACCAGTGTTCGGCAGCTAAGGTGGCCAAACATCTGGAGCGGAATGAGATATCTCTATCAAACCAACTGCAATAGACGTAACGTAACGAGGACTGTCGAAATATACCATAAACTTTATGATAGTTGCGGAATTCTGTAAGAAAGTTGAAAATACAGTTCTCTAGATATGGACTCTGAATTTGAGCTTTCATTGCGAACTCTATCGCTAAAATCATAGCAAAACACTTCCCCCAGATAAAGTAAGCCGGTTAAATGACTGATGCGACCTGGCTTCGAAGAATCTTGTTTTCAAATGAACCGATCCGAATAGTTTAGTCAAGTTAAGCTTTCTGTACTCCGTAGGGTGAATTTTCTGTATTTTCGACACGCTCCACGGAAGAAAACGTTAAACATAAGAAAACATTACTAAATGAAAAACAAGTGGATGTGATTAAAAACGACCGGTGATGGTGATTTTCCAAGTCCGTATTGGCAGTTGCTCGGTTTTTGCTAAGATACACAAGCAAGATAAAGAATGATTCTGTTTCGGTATTTGGTGATACATGCACGAAAAATCCTCAATTTCGAACGCGTACTCGACAGAGACACAGATTCACTAAGATGGACGTGCAAACAGTGTTGTTCATTTGACAGTATATTACTGATAAGAGAATGAGGCTTTTCTCCTTTTCACCGTGTAAAAGTAATGGGGATCGATACAACCAGTGTGGAAAAATGCATACAGTCACAAATTTAAGAATTATATTTGGGGGAGAACGCTGAGCTGTTCAATGCTGTTGTATGAACATGTTTGGACCAACAAATGTTATGTGACAGAGTAACTCCAAGATAGTTGATACAGAGTCAGCTTTAGAACTGTTATTAGCGTTAACAACAAGTTCAGCCTGGTTACCAAACAGGGTTTGGTAATGAGTGCTCGTGTTAAGACTAAAAGAAACATCTACACATTTATCGTCATTGAGCATCAAAGATCGGGGTGTAGACCAACTAAAAAAATTTCATCTAGACACTTGTGAATTCGGCGGAAACTGTCGTGATCAGTCGAAGGACAACCAACCACTACATCCTCAACATACTTGCATGCAATAAAGTTGGGAGAGATGGGAGGTTGTTGATGTATGGTGGAAAAATAAATGGAGATCAAATAACACGCGGGAAGACGCCAAAGGTAACCGCGAATGGGGAGGTTGATTGGCTGTTGCAAAAATTTCATTGTGTCCTATGTGAGGGGTAATTGATCAGTACATTCAACACATCATGTGTCAGACCGCAATCCGAATGACATTAAATGAGAAGACCTCGGTCAAGTGATCCGAAAGCGTTGGTATAATCAAGAAAAATTAAACAGACGATGCCAGTCTCTTTATCCAATAAGAATGAAACGGAGTGAATAACGTGGGCAACAGCGTCACGAGTGGAAAGCGAAAGTTTGTACGCAATATGAATAAGGACATGAGCAACAGATCAAAGGATCAGCGCGATAAACTGCAAAGATTTCCAGAATGTGGCACGGTCGGATAGCATTTGACCTTGAAAATAATGCAAATCAGCGCTAAACAAACCGCGGCGCTGAACTTCTCTTGCTTTACGGTCATGACAGTTTCTCAGGTCATCAAAGAAACCGAAGGCACGATATTCCAATAGACATACTTGGTCAGAAATCCTCAGATTTTCTCCAGTGGTTTGAGTTCAAGAGTACCAACGGACTGCTACAATATATTTACTCTGTAACAAGATTACGAACTTTTTGGCATTAATGACCATGTACTTTGGTGTTTGCTTATTTTGGAAAGCTATTGCATCCGTTTGTATTGTGATGAACAGCAAAAAGAAACGTCCGCTTGTATATTTATACACGGTTGCATTTCGGCTACGGTCAAGGATTGTCAACTGACTGAAACCAACTATAAAAAACGCATCCTTTAGGAAAACTATTTTTTGATCTTAACATTAGCCATAGGATTTCGTCCCTTCCCTATATCATTCGCGCACACTACGAGTGATTCACTTCTTTGTTTTCGGGCCTCTGAAAACTGAAAGTTATTAGGTGATGTGTAGCCGCCTAGAGCATAGCAGTATGCCATTTGCTCATACGCCGCCCCTCCGTTCTATGCACAATTGACTCATTGTCGTGGTGAAAAAGAAGAAAAATTTCCCAATGAAAAAGTGATCATGTATTTTATCTAAATGTTTGCCTAATTGAGCACTTCCGAGTAAATTATGGATTCATGTTGACTCTTATTGGCACACATCTTGTTTTACTGACATCTTGGCAGTAGTGGTGGTGGTGCAATGGTTTAGTTGCTGTCACCGGTGTTCTTTGAACTATGTGACCCGATGCTTCGAGCCCCGCCACTGCCACTCAACTTTCGTGGTAGGGGCAGCTTTGTTGTCGTCCGGTTCAATACCACGGGTGTGGTTATGTGGTTCGCTACTCAAAGCCCCAGGGCTTAGGATGCCGGTTACCATCGCTGAACAGCAGGTCTTCGTTACTATGGCGTCCGCCCCAACTGCTGTTCATCACACTGGTGTGTAATAAAAATAAATAAATAAATAAATGTCTGAGCACATTTCTGCATACGCCATTTTATCGCAGGCAATGTGCCGGATGAATCCTTCGCAAATATGACCGCGTATTGCTGGCGCTTGTTTTTTTCACGTAATGCTATATCACGCCCCAGATACCTTCATTTGGGTTTAGTGTTGTGGGAATTGGGACAAAACTGACAGTATGACACCAGTGTATACAAACCCATTAAATACGGCCTCCAAGCCGAAATGACAAGGTGCGTTATCGCATACAATCACCGTATTCCTACGGGCACAGTCTGGTAAATCATGGACTACGCTTCGCAGCCACGATTGACCAATTTCTTTCGTAAATGAACCGCGCTTTAGCGAATAATTTATCAATCCGCATTCCGAGATGGCGCCGACAAAAATGCAGGTTTCTGCTGCTGTTGGCAAACGTGCAACGTGCTTTCTATCCTCGAATGACACGGCTCGGACTGCAAAACAGATTAGAATTAGCTGGAGAAAAATGTAATCACTGAGGGCACAACCTTAATCTCTCATCAATCCATACAATGTTGTCATCCCTTGTATGGCAGTGTACTTTGAACAAACAGTTTGCGTTTCGCCTGGTTTTCCTCCGAATTCATTGTTTCGCAAATTGGGCGCACATTCTTCACTGAGTCTGCTGTCCAGATAGATAACGAAATGGCACAAGTGCTGTAGACGGCACCCAACACACTGCAAGAATGTGAATTTGTATAAAAATGCTGTGTATTTTAGCCATAAATTGTTCCCTTGTTGCTAGGGCATCATGGCTAGACGTGATTGGTTGATGGGTTACCGAAGTTAATACATAAAACGCATATCAGATGCCTAGGCCCACAAGCAAAAGGCCGAGATATCGCATGGGTCGTGTGTGATGTCACAATTGTTTACTACGCTCTTGAATAGGAGGTTGTTTGTTTATCATTTCGATCGAAGGTACATTTTTACAGTGTCTAACAAAAACAATATGAGGGTATCTTGGTTGTTCAGTCTACACTGGATAAAAGTGTGCAAGCCCATGAGCATACGCACTCTGCGTCCCGCATCAGCAAATGATTTTCTCTTCCTGACAAAGGCCACTTTTTGTCGTTAGATCTCATGCAGTCTGTCGTCTTATTGTCTTCCGTTTCCTTTCAGCTCTATCCTATCGGGACAGTCTTCAACAGATTCTCGGTTTACATCTCCGAACCAAATCCGACCCGACTGCCCTCGTCGGATCGTCGGACAGCACATTCTCACTCTCACCGAATCTGTTATTGGAATTCACTCAAGGTCAATTGTTGCCCACACTTCGTCGTTATCACAGTCGCGTGGGCGATCCATCAGATGAGGTCACTTGGCGTCCAGAAGGTTATCGTACTTTGACGCGATCGACTGCTGAACTCTACTGTCGTGAAGTGATGGACACAGTACTCTGGTAAGTTGGATCGTATCTCGCTCTGGTGCTCTCTCTCTCTCTCTCTCTCTCTCTCTCTCTCTCTCTCTCTCTCTCTC